CTGTTTCCCTCTTATGTCCTCATAAAATCATTCTTTGCAATATCTATTTACCGCCTAATAAGGGGTCAAATAATAAAGAAATTACCAACTTCAGAACTTCCATCCTTATTCATTCTCGTAGGAGATTTCAATGCTCACAGTACAATGTGAAGATCTAACAGCACATTATTATAGTAAACATACTTAGCAATGAAGATATATTTCTACTCAATACTGGTTGTATCACCCACTTCAATATATCTTCAGGAACTTTTATAAATATCGATTTCAGCCTTTGTGATTTAAAACTAGGTCCATGTCTAACATGATGTCCATTAGATGGTCTATTGGATAGTAATCATTTCCCTATACTAATCTCAGACAATAAACCCAATTCGTACAACGTAAGTACAGTATAGTAGGCAACGTAGGTACAGTAAGTAAATGGCAAATAGCACATGCCGACTGGATGAAATTCAGTCTAAACCCCCGAGACCAAATCAACTCAATTAAATGTGAATATAACATGGATGCATGCATTATTCCGATATTTACTTATGCAGCACAAACATGGACAATCACAAAAAAGAATATGAATATACTTAGATTCACTCAACACGCGATGGAAAGAGCAATGCTAGGTATATCACTTAAGGACAAGAAAACAAACACATGGATAAGACAGAAAACCAAAGTCACCGATGTGGTGCAAAAATCATTAAAGTTGAAATGGGAATACGCTGGACATGTAGCTAGGAGCGATCTAAACAAATGGCACAGATCAATTTTAACCTGGAGACCATACCAACACAAAAGACCCAGAGGCAGACCTCCTATGAGATGGACAGATGATCTGAAAAGGACTGCCGGGAAAAATTGGCTACAAGTAGCGTACAATAAAAAACAATGGAAAGGAAGACTTGAAGAGGCTTATGTTCAGATGTGGACGTGAATGGCTAGACGAAGAAGAAGAAGAATATTAACATGGATCGCCTAGTTGATCAGGTTACCAATTGCATAATTAACTTCTAATTGCATAACACTTTTTGAGATGTGGGACCCACAATTGTATTTAGCGAAAAATTTTACATAAGACACAATAGTTTTTACCCTTCCACCTTCCAATAGTGCGTATTATTGAAAAAAGTGAAATAATAGTGATGTTCCTTAGATGTGTGTAGTTAGATTACAACTAAACATGAACAGGTTTAATACATATAGTGCCACCATGGGATTATATTTTTGCGGAACCCTGGGACCAAATTTTTTTATTTGAAATTCTTAATATGTTTGAGCTATTATACAGGTACATTGGCATTTTTTTCTAAAACTGAAATTTTTGCCCGATTTTGCCATTTTTATGTGACGGTCTTTGGCTCTTTATGTGGAAGTGTTTGGCGTCATGGCCAATGGGGGAGCGCCCGCGTGCGTTGATCGTGCTTGAAGGAAGCGGTCTCTACGATTCACGTCGGCCGTTACTAGTCGTCAGCGTTTCAGCAAAGGAACAAAATAAACTAAAAAAAATTGTGGGAGGAGGTGCTTTCGGCTAGTGACCAAGACTTTTCCCCTGATATGAGTGAATATACGCCTTCAGGCTCTGACATGTCCAGTTCAGAAAAGGATCCAGAGACACCTAGAAAAAAATCAAGATTGTCCAATCTCCAAAGAAAAAATTTGACTACACTTCCAAAGAAAATTTGCCAAGTACCTCTGCAAGAAGAGTGGTGTTTTCGACAGATCCCAGACATCTAAAAATTCAGTTCCGGTAACAGAAGCAGGAAATAATATTGACAATGTTATAGACCATGTTATTCATTAGAACATGAATTAGAATGATGAGACCCTGACAGATGAACTCACTGCTGAGCCTGCTGAAATATCCGGTACGCACATGAAGAATTTTCAATTCACAGTGGGTAATCCTGGAATTCAAGAGAACCTTTATGATTTTTATGAAAAAACTCCATACGATTTTTATGAATTAATGGTTACCGATGAAATATTTGAGTTATTTGATATAGAGACAAATAGATATGCTGCAAAAATAAAGGAGCAAACTACAAGACCAAGAGCACGTATTCAACGCTGGAATGACACGGATTGTTCGGAAATGGAAAAGTTTGTGGGGTGTATTTTGTGGATGGGCCTTGTTCAGTTGCCATCAATTTCACCCTATTGGTCTACAAAAAAGTTATATCCTAACTTCATAAAAACAGTAATGCCCACGAATCGTTTTCAGTTGTTGCTAAAAAATTGGCATTTTGCAGATAACAATAATTTTTCTGATGATGACAGTATAAAATACCACCCGTTTTTACGAAGCTGTTAGAGAATTTTCAATCTCCAATTGTTCCAGGGGAATTTATCTGCATTGATGAAACGCTCGTGCCTTTTAAAGGCAAATTTAAATATAAACAGTACATTAGCAACGAAAGACACAAATTTGGAATCAAGCTCTTTAAGCTCTGTCTTAAAAACGGATATCTTTATGATGCTTTTATCTACTGTGGACAGGAAAGAGAATCAAATGAAGAGCAGTCAGTACCATCAAATGTTGTTTTGATACTAACAGAAAATTTACTAAACCAAGGTCGTACTATCGTCGTGGACAACTATTACACCTCTGTCGAATTAGCATCGAAACTTCTGAAAAAAAAATACATATATTTTCGGTACTCTACGAAGCAAAAGAAAGAACAACTCAAAAGATGTTGTTTAGAAAAACCTAAGACGCGGCGAACATATTGTTGAGGAAAGCAACACAGGAATATTTGTAGAGAAATGGAAAGACAAGAGGTCCTTATGTTGACAACTAAATTTGTTCCTGAAATGGTCACTCAGGCGTGAAGGTCTGGCGAAAAACCCAAGCCTAGAAGTATCATCGAGTATAACAAACACAAAGCTTATATCGACATATTCGACCAAATGGAAGCTTACAATTCGTCTTTGCGCTGTGGAGTAAAATGGTATAGAAAACTGGCTATCGAATTATTAGCTGGTTTCTGTGTTGTAAACGCTTATGTACTCCATCACCGCATAACTAATGACAAAATGTCTATTACAAAATTCCGAGAAGAAGGATCAAAGGTCTTCTAAAATCTGCAGATCTACCAAATTGCAAGAACAACCAAAAACCAAGTCACAATCTTGAGGATAGTCAGAAGAAGAGGTCTTGTAGTGGATACTACGCCAATATTTTAAAGGAATCAGGGCGTCAACTTGCCAAAAATAGGACTCTCAAAACCAAGTTTAGATGCAGCGTATGTCGAAAACACTTTTGTTTGTAATGTTTTTTTGATTTACATATTTCTGAATTAAAATAAATATTTTTTGCTAAAATTTTAGTTTTAATTTATTTCTTCCCTCATAATTTTTTTATACTTACACAATGGCCAACTGATCTTCCATTTTGCTTAACATCTCTACAAAAGATTTTCATATAGTTTACATTGAAATGTCGCATCAGTGTTATGCGATGGGGCTCTTAGTGATTTCTGGTCCGTCGGTTTACATTGATCCCCCACGGCCAGAAGGCATTAAAATGTTTAAGCAGAATGGGGGATCACGTTGATCCCCCATGGCACTTTGCGTGTTAAAATGATTGCAAAAACCCAGTACACAATTAAAACAAAAGTTCAATTACTTCTCTTTAAGCGTTGTGTAAACCTGACATATACTTACAAACAATAACCAAACAAGTATTACAACATCCATGGTGTACATCGATCTGATCCGGACCACATATAAGTATAGGACATAGCACCAGTTTACAATCTATTGGAAATGGTAATATTCTAGTATCAACTTTTACGACAACTATAGTGAAAAAACTAACAAAAAGACAAACTGTATACATATTATTTACAGCCATGAGTCATTAACACGTAAATAAAAATAATAATGGGTTCGTTAAAACAAAGCACTTACTTACTTACTTTGTTTATTTGTCCCATTTTAAATAATTTCCTGAAAGTGTTTATAATAAAAAGGTAATAAATTTTAGCAATGTTTATTGTTATTTTATTTCGTTATATTAATGAAGTTTAAGGTATATATTAGTGATAAAAAAAGGTTGAACAATGTAAATTCCTGATAAGAGCAATTTAAAAATAAACTTTGCAGGTTGTTAATTGCATATTTTATATGTAATGACATATCTTAGTTGGAATCATTTACCACAATAAATTATTATTATCATTTTATTTATTTTTTTTGCAGAGATGACTTTTTTGAAATAAATCTTGTTGTGACAAAACGGCACGAATTATTATTGTTCTTTTGAAAATCACTTTTTTAAAAAGCACAAATACCAGTGGCGGCCGGTCAGGGCCGGCAGGGTCGGCAGTGCCGACCCACACCTTTATAGATATTATATTTTTATAGATATTTTTTTTAATATTTAATTTAATCAGTATTTCAATAATTAATTGTGGCAGATAATTAGTTGATGTCATTTGTTTCTGTGAAATAAAAAAAATATCTGTGAAATAACTAAATTTTATTCATGGTTTTTAAAAGAATAAGACCAATTCGACCAGACTAAATTTTATTCATAGTTTTTAAAAGAATTCGTCCAATTTAAGCGTTAAGTGATCCCTGTGTAAGACACTTTTCAAATTAATGATCCGAAATCGGAGACATGCATCCGCCTGTGAATTCTTAAATATTCACGTTTCAGGGTTTCGGCAAGCCGATCCCAAGATTGACGATATACAATATTTACATGTAAAAATCAACGGAATATTACTTGATGAGCAACCAAACATAAATTTCTTTCCATATGAAGTTAATTACCAAGTACGGCAAAATTAAATTTGCCGATGCTTCAAGGATAAAGTAATACTGTGATACGTTACCACTGCCGTAAATAGTTAAAGGATTTTTTGAAATATTAGAAGTTTTTTTTAAATAAAATTACAACAAAAATTTTAAATTATAGCAAACTAAATAAAATTAATTGAGAACAATACAAATTACAGTTTATAGTAATAATATATTACGGGCAATAGTGATATGCAATATCAATATGGTTGGGTTTCACAAACATTATTACGACAGACCAATCCATCAGCACAAACGTCATCGGGTCCGCAGGACTCGCCAGCCTCTGTAAAAAATAGAGATATAAAAATAAACTAGTAATATTTTTTTCGATTTTATAATTCACTAATATAAGACATGTGACCCAACACAGCCACACCATACAGGCTATTAGAAACAGCGGAGACGAAATTACTGAGAGGAATTATTAGAAATATGTTGAGACACCTATATATCTAGGCCAAATCACTAAATTAAATAAAGAAAATCAGACCGAAGAAATAAAGAGAAGAATAGGATTGGCCTGGGCATCATTCGAAAAACTGTCTTATATTCTAAAGACTTCAAAATACCCCCAATACCTAAAAATGAGAGTCTTCAATCAATGTATACTCCCTATCCTCACATATGGCTCTCAGACATGGACGTTTACAAAGGAAAATATGGAAAAAATAACAAAGACAGAAAGATGGACTAAGACAATTATACATTGGAGACCATGGAATCACAAACGAAAAAGGGGAAGGCCACAAATGCGATGGTTAGATGACCTGAAGAAACACGCCGGGTCAAAATGGATGCAAATTGCCCAATATAGAGAGGCATGGAAGAAGGAGGAGAACATTCCATTTGACCCTAGGTTGATGGAACACCGAACAAATGGAAAAAAGTTGTACAGTCAGCCAAGACCCACCCAGGGTTGTAGCGCTACGTGATGATGATGAACATCTTTTGGATGAGCTTCATCGTAGAGTTAAAAGTTAACCAGGTCAGCCAGAAAGTCTTGGGGAAATTCAAAATATGCTTCGTGAAAAATATGAGCGTATTCCACTACTATCCGTTTACAGTGTTCTCCGACACCTTCCGACTCCTAACCGCCATTCTTCTCTATTTAACCATAGGCCTGGAGGGATTTCTCTTTCCTCTAGTTCTTTTTCAATTCCCTCTCTCCAGATTCTTCTCGGCTTTCCTCTTTTCCTTCTCCCTTGTGGTATCCACGTCAAAATCTGTTCCGGAATCCTGTCATCTGGCATGCTCTGTACATAGCCGAACCATATTAACTGTTTTGAGGGTAATTCGTATTAACTGAGCGTATTCCACAAGTTTCTATTTAAAATTTGTTTCTCTCCCTTCCAAATCGCATGCAAACTGTTATTGATGTTTTAGGACATAATGTCCGATTCGATATTACACTATTTTTTTTGTAGTCTCTTTTGTGTTTTAAAAATGAAAGATGTTGAATATACAATGTGAAACAGAGCATAAAACTTACAAAGAATTTTTATTTTTAGAAATTTATGGGGTGGTCACTTTTTTGCCGGTCAGTGTATAAGAAAAATGAAAAATACTTACTTCTAGCTTTTTTGCAAACGTAACAACATCCTTGTTTTACTCGTACATAGCCAATAATACAGAATAATTGTGGACAAGTCTCTGGGCAGCAAGGAGTACTCTCAGAAATATCGATAACAGCAAATGTCAAAAAGAGACATAATACACAGTACACTTTGAAATTCATGTCAATGATATTCTACTTTTAATATCAGAATGAATGGCAATATGAATACCGACAGAACTTTTATAGGCCTATTTGTTTACTTATTTGCTTAAGTAATTCAATGACTTTATGTTATTTATTGTACAGAATAAATAATATAGTATAAATATGTAAAAGTATTTTCTGTTTATATTATTTTTTAAAGTTTATGAATCCATAAATTTGGTACCGACATTTCTAATCACCTTATTTTTTATTTGTTTGATTGCGATTTCCACTTATGTATTTTGATATGGCTTTAGATTAGAGCAAATAGAAAAATATAATGTTTGTCAAAACGAAATTTTTAAATAATATGACGTATTCTGTGGAACTAGAAACCTCAAATTATTTTAGTGATGACATCTTTAGCATGGTTCTGAGTAATATTCGTTCTATAAGAAATAAAACAGATGAATTATATTTTTTGTTTCGGGAGGAATTACGATTTTTATCAATAGTTGCGGTTACCGATCACTGGCTTGAAGTAAACGAGCGTTTTTTTTTTTTAGAAAAATATACCGCAATTACTAGTTATGATCGTCCAAGGTCAGCTTATGGTGGTACCCTAATTCTTTCTAAAAATGTTGATTTCTCTTACGACTTGATTATATTGTCTCCGATTTTTTACCCCTGGATGTACGCTCTACAACTATTAATGCAGTATTATTTGATCATGAAGCAGTATTTACCAAGTTTTACACTCTTAACAAACAATTGTCGAAAACCCAACATTTAGGTAGGATTTTCTTAAATCAGAACTTTTTTAAATTCCAAAATTTGTGCTTCTGGGTGACACTTTCCCTCTGTTGACGTGAACTATTTCAATGATTTTTTAGATAGGATTGTCTGTATTCTTAATAAGTCGTTTCCTTTAATTAACTATTAAGTGAAAACATCACAAACCCTTGACTACCAAAGATATCCGCATATCAGCCAAGAATATACGCTCACTACTGTATATCAAAAAATTTACGACTAACGTCTTTGTCACTGCGTATATCTCCAAGTACAGAGGAACCTATCTAAAACTTATTCAAACAGCTTAAAACGATTATATTTAAAACAACTCAAGGAAACTCAACAGACGAGGAAGCTGAATCATTTTACGAGGATCTGACAACAGCAAGGAACCAAGAAAAATCACACTTCGTAATAATCACAGGAGATTTTAATGCAAAAATTGGTACAAAAGAAGACGGCGACACACAATATATCGGTCGCTTTGGGCTGGACAACAGGAATGAAAGGGGAGATGTTGTACAACTACTTAAACAACGAAAATTTATTTTGTCTTAACACTTTCTTTAAAAAATCTAAATGGACATGGATCAGCCCAGACAAGAAAACTAAGAACGAAGTAGACTACATACTCTCCAATAACAAAATTATATGCACCGACGTGACAGTACTTAACAGATTCTATACCGGGAGTGACCATAGATTGGTTAGAGCGAACATTACAATATAGACGAGAGTAGAACGAAACAAACTTATTAAACGAGAACGATACCCAACCACCGTTGTCCTGTTTGAAAAACAAACGGAATACCAAAAAGAGCTAAGCACAAGACTAAAATTAATAGAGACACTGAAACAAATGGATATAAACGGACTAGCCAATAAAATAAAAGTAACTGTAACAACATCGGTTTAGAAAATAGGCTCAAACACTTATTTTTAAATTACAAAAAAGGGCAATACGGTATCTTTTCGAACTCGGTAGAATAACACATTGCATAAGCTACTTCAAAAATCACGGGATTTTAACTCTTCAGTAAGACCCAATCATGACTACTCCACCAAAAATGTGCATTTACCGATACCGATCCCGTTAACTGAGTTAGTAAAGAAATATATTATATTCGGCAAAAAAATTATACAACCATCTTCCTTTGCAACTTAAATCTACAACTTCATTCCTTAAGTTCCGTAAATTGACAAAAGCCTATCTATCTGAAAGATAATATTATTTGGTGGAAGACTTACTTAAGGAATAACTAATAAATTTAGAAGTCCCACTGTACCTGTTGAGAGGACAACATGTCAAATGCTTTTATCGAGTCTATGAAAGAACGCCATTACCTGTGCCTACCTATTGCCGATGGTATTGTGAGTATCGATATTTTTATTCACTAAAGCTCATCTTCGCTACCTAAACCGTTAGGAGTTGATTTATGACTCCAGTTCGGTGCCTTTGCCTTACTTACATATATGCGTACGAATTATGAACAGAGTTATTTTATATGTAGATTATATTTATGATAAATTGCCATAAACATATTTGAGGTGATCACGATCAAACGTTTTAGTAATTTCATGTTTACCTACGTATTCTCAAGGCGTAAAAATCACTTATTTGTTTTATTTCAAACTATCAAATATTGACGTAGATACAATTATAATATTCGTTGCCATTTTCTTATTCTTGAGGATACTAAATTATGCATAATTATTTTTCAAAAAGATATTTTTTTGTTGTATTTAATAATAAATTGTGCAATAACTTATCTCGTGCCATTCAACTGTTCAGTAAAAATTGTTATAGTGCATTTACTTTAACTCTACCTCAATATAACCTTGTTGATGAACTATTTGCCTTTTATTTTTTTATTATGTGTATAAATTTATTTTTTGTGCATGGTGTATATCTTTTAGACATTGTTATTGTTTTATATTATTATTTGATTTATCATATAAACAGTGTATATGTGTCATAATATTAAGTGTGTAATGACAATCATAATAACTTTTCTCTCACGGTATATTTTATTCTCGTGCGATTATCTTTTAATCGTAATCGTACCATACCTTTCTCGATATCTTATTTTATATGTCGTAGGTTTCCCTGTTCCTCTAAAAATAGGGAGGTGCCCAATTATTTCCCTTCTCTTTATCTTATAACTTCTCTTCTATTTATCTCCAGTACCACAGCCACCTTTACTTCCAAGCCATGAAGTATAAATTTGGCAACAACGCGTGGTAGTCCGACCGTGGTTTGTTTTGTTTAACATTTCATATAGCAAGGCTTGTAAAGTTTGTTGAATTTAGTGTTTTTTTAACTTTATTCGAATGTTTTATTTGTAAATTGTGTTTAAATCAATTAGAAAATATTAATATAAGTGAAATTTCATCAAATTTAGAACTTATAGAAGATTCTTAACGACAATTTAAAAGGCAAGTATAAATATAACCTAGAAAACAAACTGAAAATAATACTTTTGCTTCTTGTTACAAAATATGTAAACTAAAAACAACAATAATAATACTTTTGTTTTTTGTTACAGATGGCCTGGCATTGTGGTGTACCTGGTAGCAAAAACCAATTTTGCCAGTACTTTAAAAACGAAACAGGCAGAAAGTACGTTTTCGTTTTCCAAAGATCCCCAAAGAAGGTATACTGGGTTATGCTCTATTCATAGAGAAGGCTATACAATTACCAAATCTTCCGTAGTATGTGCCAAACATTTTCATGAAGATGATATTCAGCGGACTGAACAATGAGAAGATAAAGATGGAAATGTACACATTGAAAAGTTAATATTTCCCAAATTAAAAGGCAATGCAGTTTCTAATATATTTCCTGAAGTACCATCATATGTAACTGTTCATCGTACTAAAGAAAGAAGGAATCCCGAAGACAGAAGAAACTTTTTGCATAAGAAGAGGAAACAAGAGATAACATAATTATGACAATTAGACTTAGACAATAATATCCCATTGAAAAACTGGACAAGTAAAATTACAAGTGACTGTATATTTCTATGTATTTAACATTAATCAGTTGGGACACAAGTGTGATAATATTTGTGTAATACGTAGTGTAATAGTTAGCAGTAATTTTAGTGTAATCGTCAATGTAGGTAAGAATAGATTAAGTAGTAATGATTTGAAATGGATTTTACAATATAGTAAATTAACAAGATGGTCACAATTAGAGAACTTACTTTCTCATTTAGATCTGCTTTTTAGATAAGTGATAACAAATTTGAGTATTATATTCAAAAATCTTTTGAGAATATAGGCTATTTTAAATCGATATACAAGTTATAAATGGTATGTTACATTCAACACATTTTTCATGTATACCTCTTTTAACTTGATCTGCATATATGACAAAAAACCTATTCATATTTAAAATTGCTACTTTCGTATAGGTACCTAAGTATGAAAATTCAACAAAAGTTATAAGTAAATAGTAAAATATTTAATTTTCAATTAGATTAATTTAGAACCATATTTATATTGTGTCTGATTTTCTTAGGATGAATTAATCATAATAGTTACACCAAGTTTTTACTTAACAACTTAACAACAATATTGTGTTATTTATATGCTCAGGTACTTAATATTTAAAATTTCTAGAGATTCTTGACTGCATTTGATTGTAACATTAACTGTTTGACACTGTATTTTAAGTGCAATAAATTTTACTCTAGTGATTATTTTATTGATAATATAACCTAAATAATAATAAAACTTTGTATATATTTATTAGATAAATATAAGGTTTTATTAATTTAATTTCCCTAAAAATATTTCTGTAATGAATTGAAGTTTTCAAACAATCAGTTTCCTAAAATTCAAATTAGTTCAAATTTTCTGGTAGACCTTACAGCTGATTATCGGACTACCGACGTCATAGCATGCGGTGTTGCCTTTTTTACTTCATGGCTTGGAAGTAAAGGTGGCTGTGCCAGTACTTTTCAAATTGATTCTTTGTATTTGAGCTGTACTAAGGGCCACGACTAAGAGACCTCTACCAGACTGAAGTATGAGCCTAGTACCGTTCCCTGTCCCTGTGTAACCTTTACTGTCATTAAAGAGGGTACACATTGACTGTATGCATGTGACCTTTGACTAGCGTACTTCCAGTAGGAAATCTGTTTTGAATATTAATAGATCAAACGTGTTTTATACAATCGAAATTCAGGGTTGACTCAGTAAATAGATTGTCATTATGCAGAGATGTCAGTCTAAAATATTTCGTTCAGTGGTGGATCATACAAAATCACAATAATAATCTTTTCAATGCAGTTCTTGAGCCTTAAAGGTAATAAATCGGACTTTTCGCAAGATAGTGCCTTACCATGTCATTGTAAAACACTAATGCTCTGTAGATATGAAATGAACGTGCAGAATATTATGTTCCCATTGTTAATAACTACATAAATAAAAAGAATTTAAATTATTATTTGAACACAAAATAATAAAATTTATATTACCAATCACTTAATTTTGTAACAACTGTAATTTTTTTATGGTGACTACAAAACAAAATGGAAAATATTGTGATTTAAAATAACTGAACGGTCTGTATCGACGATTTCAATCAAATCTCGTGCAACTACATAACCAAACCTTAGGAAGAGAGAAGGAACAAAAAAATGATAACTCTAACAGTAAATCATAGGATGTACCTAATCTTTAAAATTATATCTACTTACTTTTTACGAATACACAAAATGTACAGCACTTTCTTTTTACTTCTATAGATCCGATACCACATGCTATGGCTGGACAAATAACTCCTGTACAATTAGGGGCACTTTCAGAAATATCAACAACACCAACTACCAAAAGAAGACCCAAAAGAAAGTATATTTTGGAATCCATGTCAATGTTATTTTAATTAATAGAAGTGAAAATACTGCTGCTAGAATTTTTATAGCCCTGTTTGTTTACCTGCCAACTTCACTGATTTTATTAAGTATTTCACAAATAGAACAATCACATACAAATAATTAAAAATTTCCTGTTTACGTCGTTTTTAATCTTTACAAATAATTCAATCAAATCTCATTCAAATACATCATTAATCCTCAGCAATAAACAAAGAACAAAAAAAAATTGTTACAGGAAATCATAAGATGTAATATTTAAAATTATATATACTTACTCTTTACGACTATACAAACAGTGCAGCACTTTCTTGTCACTTCTATAGATCCAATAATACATGCTATTTTTGGGCATACAACCCCTGTACAGCAAGGACTACTTTCAGAAATATCAACAACACCAACTACCAAAAGAAGACCCCAAAGGAAGTATATTTTGGAATTCATGTCAATGTTATTTTTGAATTAATACAAGTGGAGATACCGTTGATAGAATTTTTATAACCCTGTTTGTTTACCTGCTAACTTCACTGACTTTATTAAGTATTATCTAAAAAGAGCAATAACATCTAAATAACTAAAAATATCCTGTTTTGTGTCATTTTTAATCTTTATAAATATTTTGCGCGTTTTTATTTTTCCAGTTGTTATTATATGCGTAAGGGCATTTCCAATGGTGCCAAATCGTTGATGGATGTATAAAAATAATTTATATAAATAGTTTAATATTTTTTCTCAATCTAAAATCTCAATTAAACTAAAGAAAATCAAATGCAGAGTAAAGATAAAACCTAGCCTGGAAAAATTTAAAGATCCAGTAGTACTGTAATAGATACTAGTAATAGATAGAGAAAATACTCAATGATACACTCAAAAAGAAATCAGTGAAGCACCCGCAGTAGCAGAAGAATCAGTAGAAAGTATTTGGCACACCTTCAAAACAACAATCACAACTATACAAACAGAACAACTACAAGACAACACAAGAAAAACAAAGAATCATTGGATGACAGAAGAAATCCTTGAAATTGAAAGTTTAAAGTACCTATTGATAACTAAAATTTTTGTTCTATGTTGAAGTAACAAAGGTAGATAAAGAAAAAATTTTCCTTTCGCATATTTGAAAGTATGAATTAATATAATTTGGTGAAATATAAAAGACAAGCAAACATTAGTCCATAAGTCTTTACCTGCCACCTGGTGCAGATAGGTCAGTAATCAGTTTACAAATCATTTCAGATCTATTTTAAAATCCTGGTTTTATTGCGGTAATGAGTTTGTACTATACAAAGGCGTATTTAAAAACTATATACATTTAAAAATGGAAACACGATTTCTCAAGTATATCTGTATTTACACAAATTTGTCAGATCTATGAGATACTTGAATAATATAAAAAGTTACACAAACACTAATATCTGTTAATAATAATTTATGATTATGTCATTTGATTTTGGAAAATCACTATTTCTGGCAAATACCATTCACACATCTCAGTCCATCTTCACATGTCGTCTCTATGTAGTCTCCGCAGATACCGCCTTCATCTGCAAAAATGGCACATTTTAGTGGGAGTAAATTATAATTATTAAAAAAAAAGCAGAGAAAAATGTTGGGATGCTTAGATTTTTATTTTGCGTTTGTCATTTAAGAAATTAGTTTCTGCCTTCAACCATATAACTTTAATGATTATTTTAAATCAATGTTCGTTAAATAGTAATAAGAGTTAACAATACTATTTTCAAGCATAAGTTTAAATACAAATATAAATTTGAAAACAGTAAAGAACAAAATCAACAATAAATTATATTTTCACTAATAGAAAACAATAACACAGTGGGAAGCTGGGGAAAAGCAAAAATAACATAATTAACGCAATAATAGAATCACTTATAGGAGAAAAGTATTTAAATTTAATAAGAGTATGAAAAAATTATTTATAAATAAGATTTACTTATACATACATTTACACACATTTATACACACATAGACAGTGACGATAAAGATATAAGATGAAATAGACGACATACTTAAAGCAACAATGATTACATCAGGAAAATAAATAGCAAAGAAGGATCTAGAAAAGAACAACTATATATCAACAGAAACAAAGAAGCTTATGGATAAAAGAAGGAAGCTGAAAGAAGAAGGCAAAAGGAAATAAAACAATAAGCAGAATGATAAAAGAAAAGAGAAAAGAACAAGAAATAAAAATAGAAGAAATAATACAAAACAACAAAAATATAAAATGCTAAGGCCGAAATTAGGTAAGTTTGAAATAAACAAAATAAAATATGTAAATGGAATAGAAACAAACGTTAAAGATGACATCATAACTATAATCCACCATTTCTACTCAGAATTATATAAAACAAAAAAAGAACCACCAGAAGAAATTAAAAACCAACTTAAGGTCAAAATAAAAACTGTCAACTTAGAGTTGCACCCCGAAATAAGCAAATCAGAAATAAAGAAGGCATTGAAAGAAATGAAAAACAACAAATCGCCTGGAAAAGATGGAATAACTGCAGAGATGCTGAAATATGGTGGAAAAGTGGTAATGAATACTCTACATTCCCTTTTTAACAAGATATTAAAAGAAAAAAAGAATCCCAAACAACTGGAAGGAATCAGTAACCATTATCCTACACAAGAAAGGGGATAAAGCAGATATAAAAAACTACCGTCCTATAACACTCCTCAAATTCGATGGATACCAGTCGAAAGAACAAGCTGGTTTTAGAAAGGGATTTAGCACAAGTGACCATTTACTAAGTATGAAAATACTTATAGAACGAGCAAATGAATACCACATTCCTCTATATATGGCGTTCATAGATTTCGAAAAGGCTTTCGACAGTGTCGAACATTGGGCAGTGAAAAGTTCTTTGATTAACAGCCGAATTGACCACAGATATACGGAACCAATAACCAATATATATAAGGAAGCCAAAACAACAATTAAAGTATATGAAGGAACAAAATAATTACAAATACGTAGAGGCGTGAGACAGGGTGATACAATATCACCGAAACTTTTCAATCAGGCTCTTGAAGATACTTTTAAAAGAACTGAACCATCTAAGGTACGCTGATGACATCGTATTGATAACCGATAAAAAAGAAGAATTATTTGAAATGATGAAAGAACTGGACGTAGAAGCTAGAAAGATAGGCCTTAATATGAATTACAGCAACACCAAAACTATAACAAATACAGATGAAGACATCACAATGAGAATCGCACAAGATAAAATAGAACAAGTTAAAGACACAAAGAGAACCAAACAGCAGAGATCAAGAGACGAGTTAGACTGGCAAGGGCGGCATTTGGCAAACTAAACTACATTCTTAAAAACAAAAGATATCCACAGCATCTTAAGACTAAATTATATAATCAATGCGTACTCCCTGTTCTTACTTATGGTTCCCAAACGTGGACATCTACAAAAGCAAACATGGACAAAATCATAAAAACCCAAAGAGCAATGGAAAGACAAATGTTGCACATAAGACTAATGGATAAGAAGAGCAACGAGTGGATAAGAGAGAAAACAAAAGTGAGGGATGTTAGACAAGAAGTTGCAAAATTGAAATGGAGATTTGCCGGACACAATATAAGACAAAAAGAAGACCGATGGAACAAAATTCTTATAAGTTGGAGACCGTGGGAATATAAACGAAGCAGAGGAAGGCCCCAAATGAGATGGGCAGATGATATCAAGAAGCACGTGGGATCTAGATGGATGACTGTAGCGACAGACAGAGAAGAATGGAAAAGGATTGGGGAGGCCTATGTCCAAAGATGGACCGAAGAAGGCTAATTAGATATACATACATTTATGTACTTTAATATAATTATATTTTAAATAAATACGGGCACATAATTGGTCACACTAATCCCACTTTATGTGAAAACTGTAATATCCCACTAAGTGTTAAGCATGTACTTGTAGAGTGTCCAAAATACCAGTTACAGAGACAGAACAACCATATCATCGGATCAACAAGTGAAATCTTAGGAGAAAATTGTAAAATTAAAGATTTGGTAAAATTCCTTAAAGATATCGATGTATTTAACAAAATCTAACATTTATAAATAAATTATCTTATGTATATGTATATATGTCGCTAATAACCTGAGAGGTTGATGCGACTATTTTGTAAAATAATAAAAAAAAATAAATAAAACAATAACAATATAAAGGCGACTTAAGAAAAGATTTGTACATCCCGTAGTTATTAGCTGCTTTGTTTTGGTTATTTTTGCGATGAAATACTATATATGTTATTATTTTAATTGTTTTTAACTTTTTTCCAATATGTTACTAGTATACGTCTTAAAGAAGAAAATAAGTCCTTGATTATTGAGATTCGTTCAGTCAAATTTTCTGGACCAGTCTTAAAAATTAGTTCGTTTTTCACAAAATCTAATTAAATTTAGCAAAAACGATTCTGGATCAGCACTTGCACACAATTCGAACACGATAAGAGTTCAGTTACGTCTGAACAAATTTTAATAAAGAATAAAAAAGTTATTAACAATATTCAAAAACTGTGATTTTGTGGTTTATTTTAAAATAACTTATTTGGGTATCATCCGATTTTAATTTAGCGCATTTTAGCTTTAATAACCTTTTTTTGTATCTGTTTTTTCTGAAAATTTGTCTATTATCTTCAAATCTCAATATACAAATTTTTAAGCTATGAGCAAAATAAAGAGTTTTGATTGTTTATTTAAAAATATTTCCACTAAAAAATTGACGAATCCCTAGTTGAGTCTTTTTGTAATGCCTCATACTATTTATTTAAACTGACAAACTCGTCCATACAGTTAAGACGAAAAAAGGTGTACTTTTTACTTATTTGATTGGTTTATTAAAAGAAACAATACATGTGAAAAAGGGACGACGTCATGGAGACGCTATATATAAATAAAACGAGCTGAAGAAAATAGTGACCTTAAAATCAATCAGGGCAAAATATATATGCATG